GTTTCTTTGAATCGTCTTGTGTGAAAAATCTGAATGGATTTTGCTACCCAAAAGTCTTGAACTGCTGACGTTACTCTCTCACATGTAAAATGTCCAACAGTGAAGTGTTTTTTGTATTTTGTTATCAGTATCGAACGAAGCCTAGACTAAAAACCTGGACTAACAATCGAAAAGACTGTTTCACGCAGCTTTATCATCCGAGGTCCTGCCAGCAGATCAAATAGGCACAGTGCCCCACTTGCCTGGAAAAGTCTCTGGGCGAGTGCCCTACTTGGTGCGGGTATGATGCACTGGGATCACTGGGTGCAAAGTGGACAGGACCTGCAGGACCTCAGCAATGGCACCGAATCCTACGGAATCCGACTGAGATCCCTCATGACTAATATGACATGGTCCATCCAGCTGTCGGCAACAAGGCACTCTGCAATTCCCCTCCAAAAAAACAAGGTGGGCCAGAGAACCCAAAAGCAAGACGGCACACAGCACGATTTTTTTGAAAATCTTGTGGTGTGTGCTCTGCACGAAATCGACGTAAGATCTTTACTGAAACATCGTGCGCGCTGATGGTATCAGGGGCCGCAATTCACCACAGCATGCTGTGTCAGCTACGTCTACATTCTTCTAGTCGCTATTTCTGCTAATGTAATTAACTCTATCCCATCTTTTTAGCCGCTATAATTCCTGCGTTCTCGTTTAGTTTGCTTCGCCGCAGAGGGAGCGAGGACGAAGCGTCGACGGACAGAACACCGTGCAAAATGAAAACTAAACGACGGAGGGAGCTGACCAAAAGAGCATGAAAACGAAGATATGAAGGTGATAGGTGGTGAATGATAGTGAAAAATGAGACATGATGAAAAATGGGTAAAGACTTCTCTGTACAAAAGATTCTTTGCATAAATGCTTCTGTATGTAAAAGCTCCTCTGTGTTAAGATTTTGTTTGTGTAAAACTTCTGTGTGCAAAAGCTTCTCTGTGTAAGAGACTTCTCTGTGTCAAAGCCTCTGAGTGTACAAGCTTCTCTGTGTAAAAGTTCCTCTGGGTAAAAGCTCCTCGGTGAAAAAGCTGCTCTGTGTAAAAGGCTTCTCTGTGTAAAAGCCTCTGTGTGTGTGTGCAAGCTTCTCTGTGTCAAGATTTCTTTGTGTAAAGATTTCTCTGCGTAAAAACTACTCTGTGTAAACGCTTCTGTGTGAAAAAGCTTTCCTGTGTAAACGCCTCCGTGCGTAAAGACTCCTCTGTGTAAACCTGTCTGTGTGTAAAAGCTCCATTGTGTAAAGGCTTGTGTAAAAGCTTCTGTGTGTACAAGTTTCTGTGTGTAAAAGTTTCTGTGTGTAAAGCTTCTGTGTGTAAAGGTTTCTGTGTGTAAAAGCTTCTGTGTATTAAAAAAACCCTATGTAAAAGCTTCTGTGTAAAAAAGCTCCCCTTTGTCCTGTGTGTACAAGCTTCGCTGCGTAAAAGCTGCTCTATGTATATAAAAGTTCTGTGCGCCGTAAAGTCTTCTGTTTGTATAAAACCTCCTGTGTGTGAACGCGTCTGTGTGTACAAGATTCTGTGTGCAAAAGCCGTGCTGTCTCGGTCCCTCCCACCGAAGATCTCCCCAAGCTATTTCCACGCTTTCCTCCCAGCAAAGCTCTCCCCAAACTATTTCCACGGTTTCCCCTCCGTCCAGCATGCTGTCTCGCTCCCTCCCGGCGAAGCTTTCCGCAAGCTATTTGCACTGTTCCCTCTCCGTCCCGCATGCTGGCTCGCTTCCTCCCAGCAAAGCTCTCCGCAAGCTATTTCCAACGTTTCCTGTCCGTCCAGCATGTCTCGCTCCCTGCCAGCGAAGCTCTCCACACGCTATTTGCACGTTATTTCCTCTCCGTCCAGCATGCTGTCGCGCTCCTTCCCAGCGAAGCTCAATGCAAGCTATTGCCACTGTTTTGTGTCCCGTCCAGCATGCTGTCTCGCTCCCTCCCAGCGAAGCTCTCCGCAAGCTATATTTGCACGGTTTCCTCTCCGTCCAGCGTGCTGTCTCGCTCCCTCCCAGCGAAGTTTCCCCAAGCTATTTCCACGGCTTCATCCCGTCCAGCATCCGGTCTCGCTCCCTCCCACAGCGAAATTTCCCCAAGCTATTTCCACGGCTTCATCCCGTCCAGCGTCCGGTCTCGCTCCCTCCCAGCGCAGTTTCCCCAAGCTATTTCCACGGCTTCATCCCGTCCAGCATCCGGTCTCGCTCCTTCCCAGCGAAGTTTCCCCAAGCTATTTTCCACGGTTTCCCGTCCAGCATACTGTCTCGCTCCCTCCCAGCGAAGTTTCCCCAAGCTATTTCCACGACTTCATCCCGTCCAGCATCGGTCTCGCTCCCTCCCAGCGAAGTTTCCCCAAGCTATTTCCACGGCTTCATCCCGTCCAGCATCCGGTCTCGCTCCCTCCCAGCGAAGTTTCCTCAAGCTATTTCCACGGCTTCATCCCGTCCAGCATCCGGTCTCGCTCCGTCCCAGCGAAGTTTCCCCAAGCTATTTCCACGGCTTCATCCCGTCCAGCATCCAGTCTCGCTCCCTCCCAGCGAAGTTTCCCCACGCTATTTCCACGGTTTTGTCCCGTCCAGCATCCGGTCTCGCTCCCTCCCAGCGCAATTTCCCCAAGCTATTTCCACGGCTTCATCCCGTCCAGCATCCGGTCTCGATCCCTCCCAGCGAAGTTTCCCCAAGCTATTTTCCACGGTTTTGTCCCGTCCAGCATCCGGTCTCGCTCCCTCCCAGCGAAGTTTCCCCAAGCTATTTCCCCAAGCTATTTCCACGGCTTCATCCCGTCGAGCATCCGGTCTCGCTCCCTCCCCGCGCAGTTTCCCCAAGCTATTTCCACGGCTTCATCCCGTCGAGCATCCGGTCTCGCTCCCTCCCATGCAGCGAAGTTTCCCCAAGCGATTTCCACGGCTTCATCCCGTCCAGCATCCGGTCTCGCTCCCTCCCAGCGAAGTTTCCCCAAGCTATTTCCACGGCTTCATCCCGTTCAGCATCCGGTCTCGCTCCCTCCCAGCGAAGTTTCCCCAAGCTATTTCCACGGCTTCATCCCGTCCAGCATCCGGTCTCGCTCCCTCCCAGCGAAGTTTCCCCAAGCTATTTCCCCAAGCTAATCCCTTCCTCCTAATACTAAACGTCCCCCTAATACTAAAAACAGGCATCCATCTCCAATTTCCGAAAATTTCAGTTTGGCCAATTTGACTTTTAATTGATCCCCTTTAAAAAACAATTCAAAAATCAACCTACCATGTGTGGGTTCTCCCCCCTAATACTAAAAACTAATTCATCCCGGGGTGTTTAGTATTAGGGGGGCTAGTCCTACTCCCCAAATCCAAGCTGCCTGGCTGGTCTAGCTGCCTGCATGTTTTGCTGACACCACGCTGTCTGGCTGTCTGAAAGCCACCCCTCATGCCTTGCTGCCTGCAAGGTCTTTCTGAGCTGGCTGGAGTCTTGAATTTTGAAGATCCCATAAACACCTATGTTAAGGGTTTCCCTTAATTTTAGGGGGTTTAAAAAAAAATCAAGACTCCAGCCACTGTACTTCCTGGCTGTACTTCCTGGCTGTACTTCTTGGCTGTCTAGCTGCCTACGCATCCTTAGCTGGCTGCCTTTCTGTCTGAGCTGGCTAGAATCTTTAATTTATAATTGAATCCCAGAAATTTAATTGATTATGGTTATGTTGTAAAGGTTTTAGGAGTAATTAATGAATAACAATCCCCATTAAAGATTCTAGCCAGCTTTCCATGCCGCTTGCCTGGAGCTCACTGTCTGGCTGAGCTCCATGCTTTGCCAGGTTCTGTCTGAGGGCTGGCTGGAATCTTGAATTTATATTTCCCATTAAAACAACAGCAACTATTGGTAATTATTTAGAAGGTGACCCATGTAATTAAGAAATTACTTTACTAATTATTCAAGATTCCAGCCTGCCCCTCTGTCTCCTTGCTCCTCTGGCTGTCTAGCTGTCTCGGCAGCAAAGCATCAACCAGCTGAAAGGAGGACCTGCCTGTCTGGCTTTACTGATCCAGCTGCCTTTCACGACTGCCATCCAGTCCTGCCAACTCTCTGTCTGCTCTTTGTGCCTGTCTACGTCTGCCTGCATAGACAGCCAGCTGTCCTGGGAGAGTGCTGTCGAGATAAAGATGGAGGGGTTTGTGTTGGTGTATATATATATATATATATTTGTTTTTTTATTTATTTATTTGTCAATGTCAAGTAATTAATTAAAATAGGAGGTGGATGTAGGAGGAGATATGTGTATAACTAATGGGATGAAAGTAAAAATGGATTTACTGGGGGTTCTAAATTCTTTGCTGTCTGTAGGAGTGAGAATATTGCTGCCTAGCTGCTTGTCGCAGCTCCATACAACACACCTTCTTCCCCAGCAGGTGCATTTCTGTCTGTATGTCTTGCAAGGCTGCCAAAGCTGCCTGCAAGAGCTGCGTCTGCTGTGCCTTGGCTGCACAACTGGTTCCACCAAAAAAAATGCTAAAACAGCTACCTGTTGTGCTAATCGCTGCCTGATGATTGGAGATCTGACTTGCCTGGCTGTAAATCACTGGCTACCTAGTGAAAGATGGATGGCTTTTTCAATCTGGCACGCTGGCTCGCGGAAACTCACCCCTCAAGCTGTGTGCCAAAAGCTCACAGCACTTGCTGCTATAGTAGAATATCCAATATCTCAATGTCTATATCTTTCTAATTATCTATCTATCCATAGACCTATCTCTCTAATTTGCTATCTAATTCATGTATCTATCTATCAATGGCAAATGAAGGTTGGATGCTCCACTTCGCTGGCTGCTGGACAGCTCCTGCAAAAGGCTATGCTGAGTGCCTGCACTGTCTGAGCTGGGTTTGGACCATGCCTATGACAATGGCTGACTGTGCTGTGGCACAGAGCCTTCCAATTAGGGAGATCACATGAATAGACTGTCTGGCCTTTCTGAGATAGCAAAAAAAATTGGAAGGCTCTGTCTCGCTTGAGGTGCACTCTTGGCTCCTCTTTCTGGCCGTGTTCTGACTTTCTTTTCTGCCACTGTGACTGCCTCACTTACTTTTCTTCTCTGCTGCTTCTCTGCCCAGCGCAGCATCTTGGCTGGGTTGCAAGCCAAACAGCCTGTCTTGCTATACTTGCACTTGCTGCAACCAAACTGCTCGTCCCAGCCTAGCTGCAGCTTGGTCTGTGCCACCTTGCCCTTTTTTTTCGTCTTCCCTGCTTCTTCTGCCTTGCTGCTGTCTGGAGGAGGCTGCTCTGGAGGAGGCAAGGAGGCAGCTCAGCTTCTGGCTGCTTCTCTGCTGCTTTCTTGGCCTCCAAAGCCTTTGCTGCCTTGTCTAAAGACTTCTGCTTCAGCACTGCTTCTTGCCAGGACTGAAGCTTCTGGCTCAGCTCCCCAACTGTCTGCCATGTGGACTGACTACATCCTAGGAACTCTCTGGCTTGTCTTTCCATGTACTGAAGGCACCAGAGGCCACAACTGAAACCGTCTGACTGGTGGAAACGGTTGCATGGCACTGGCAGCTCTGTCTCTGTCTGCAAACAGACTTGCAGCACTGTGCTAGCTGCTGCTTTGGCTGTTTCTGGCTGCATCTTGAGTGTGTCGAAGTACTGGACCTCTGGCTGTTCTTCTTTGCTGCTGCCTGCCTTGCTCAAAGAAAGCAGTGTCCAGTGCTGTGGAGCTGAGCTGTGGATTGGTACCAGCAGCAAAGTCTTGCTGTCTGCCAGGAAGTCTTCCATGGCTTTGCAAACTGCACCTGTCTCTGCTGCTAGCTTGCTTTGAGCTGGGGTTACCCATCGCACTGCGCTGCCTGGCTTCAGTCTGCTGCTAATCTCTCTCCAGCCTGCCAAGAGCTGATCATCTGTCACCAGCTGGCCGAACTGGTAGAGATCCACTTGCTGCATCCAATCTGCCTGCAAAGACTGCCTGGCTGCATCCTTGAGCTGCTGTGGAGCCATTGTCTGCCTGGCTGTCTTTGGCAGCAAAGGGCATTCTAGATCTGCCTTGCAAATCCACTGGCTGCCCTTGCTCGGTATCTGGCAGAGGAGCTGGCTGCCCTTTGCTTTCTCCACTGTCACGACCAAGCCTTGCCAGGCTGCCTTTGCTGTCTCTCCAACAACTCTGCCTATGGCACCATTCCACTCTGACTCCTCTTCCTCTGCTTTCTCTGCTGCCTCTGCTGTCTTGATTGCTGCTGTCTTCTTGCTCTGCTTTTTCTTCCTTTTCTGCAAGTGACTGTACTTGAGCTTGGCACTGGGCTTCAACTTTTTGCCTGCTGTCTTGCTGCTGACTGGTCTGACTTGCTCCAATGCCTGCCTCTGTGCTTTGGAGCCCGCTTTCTGCCTCCACTTCTCAACAAGCTCTTTCTTGGCCTTCTTTCCTTTCTTCCTTCCTCTGGCTTTATCCTTTCTCTTCTGCGAGGCTACTTGGCTGACTGCATGCATCCATGGAGTGCTTGGCCTGGCAGAAGGTGTAACTAATTAGCCATGGAGTGGTTTCTTCAAAGATTGGAACCTAGAAGATAAGGACTTTAGAAAGGGAAATGCAAGGAGGTGAAGTAGTTTTTAGTATTAAGGTCTGGTGCTTAGTATTAGGGAGAACCTGCCTGGAGCTAGCCTGGCAGCACAGAAGCAGAAGTTTTAGTAAAGACTTTAGAAAGGGAAATGCAAGGAGGTGAAGTAGTTTTTAGTATTAAGGTCTGGTGCTTAGTATTAGGGAGAACCTGCCTGGAGCTAGGCCTGGCAGCACAGAAGCAGCAGTTTTAGTAAAGACTTTAGAAAGGGAAATGGAAGGAGGTGAAGTAGTTTTTAGTATTAAGGTCTGGTGCTTAGTATTAGGGAGAACCTGCCTGGAGCTAGCCTGGCAGCACAGAAGCAGCAGTTTTAGTAAGGACTTTAGAAAGGGAGATGGAAGGAGGTGAAGTAGTTTTTAGTATTAAGGTCTGGTGCTTAGTATTAGGGAGAACCTGCCTGGAGCTAGCCTGGCAGCACAGAAGCAGAAGTTTTAGTAAAGTCTTTAGAAAGGGAAATGGAAGGAGGTGAAGTAATTAGTTTTTAGTATTAAGGTCTGGTGCTTAGTATTAGGGAGAACCTGCCTGGAGCTAGCCTGGCAGCACAGAAGCAGCTGTTTTAATTAGTAAGGACTTTAGAAAGGGAAATGGAAGGAGGTGAGGTAGTTTTTAATATTAAGGTCTGGTGCTTACTATTAGGGAGAACCTGCCTGGAGCTAGCTTGGCAGCACAGAAGCAGCAGTTTTAGTAAGGACTTTAGAAAGGGAAATGCCAGCGGGTGAAGTAGTTTTTAGTATTAAGGTCTGGTGCTTAGTATTAGGGAGAACCTGCCTGGAGCTAGCCTGGCAGCACAGAAGCAGCAGTTTTAGTAAGGGCTTTAGAAAGGGAAATGGAAGGAGGTGAAGTAGTTTTTAGTATTAAGGTCTGGTGCTTAGTATTAGGGAGAACCTGCCTGGAGCTAGGCTGGCAGCACAGAAGCAGCAGTTTTAGTAAGGACTTTAGAAAGGGAAATGGAAGGGGGTGAAGTAGTTTTTAAAATTAAGGTCTGGTGCTTAGTATTAGGGAGAACCTGCCTGGAGCTAGCCTGGCAGCACAGAAGCAGAAGTTTTAGTAAAGTCTTTAGAAAGGGAAATGGAAGGAGGTGAAGTAGTTTTTAGTATTAAGGTCTGGTGCTTAGTATTAGGGAGAGCCTGCCTGGAGCTAGCCTGGCAGCACAGAAGCAGAAGTTTTAGTAAAGACTTTAGAACGGGAAATGGAAGGGGGTGAAGTAGTTTTTAGTATTAAGGTCTGGTGCTTTGTATTAGGGAGAAAACCTGCCTGGAGCTAGGCTGGCAGCACAGAAGCAGCAGTTTTAGTAAAGACTTTAGAAAGGGAAATGGAAGGAGGTGAAGTAGTTTTTAGTATTAAGGTCTGGTGCTTAGTATTAGGGAGAACCTGCCTGGAGCTAGCCTGGCAGCACAGAAGCAGAAGTTTTAGTAAAGTCTTTAGAAAGGGAAATGGAAGGAGGTGAAGTAATTAGTTTTTAGTATTAAGGTCTGGTGCTTAGTATTAGGGAGAACCTGCCTGGAGCTAGGCTGGCAGCACAGAAGCAGCAGTTTTAGTAAGGACTTTAGAAAAGGAAATGGAAGGGGGTGAAGTAGTTTTTAGTATTAAGGTCTGGTGCTTAGTATTAGGGAGAACCTGCCTGGAGCTAGGCTGGCAGCACAGAAGCAGCAGTTTTAGTAAAGTCTTTAGAAAGGGAAATGGAAGGAGGTGAAGTAGTTTTTAGTATTAAGGTCTGGTGCTTAGTATTAGGGAGAACCTGCCTGGAGCTAGGCTGGCAGCACAGAAGCAGCAGTTTTAGTAAGGACTTTAGCTTGGGAAATGGAAGGAGGTGAAGTAGTTTTTAGTATTAAGGTCTGGTGCTTAGTATTAGGGAGAACCTGCCTGGAGCTAGGCTGGCAGCACAGAAGCAGAAGTTTTAGTAAAGACTTTAGAAAGGGAAATGGAAGGAGGTGAAGTAGTTTTTAGTATTAAGGTCTGGTGCTTAGTATTAGGGAGAACCTGCCTGGAGCTAAGATGAAATAGGTGAAGTCAGTAATTAATCAGCTGTCTCCCTGCCTCACTGTTGGATGCTGCAGCAACTCTTCCACTGCCAGCTGTTCTGCCTGGCTCATCGCAAAATCCGCTGGCATGTCAACGAAAAAGCCTGTCTGCACTCCATGCTGGCTGGAGAACAGGTAAGAGCCTTCATACTCTGGCTGTGGCTGCTGGCCCTTCTCTTCCTCTGTGAAAGGCACTGGCTTGCCTGACTTCACATACTTTGCTCTGTCTGAGAGCATGTGTGGAGCCATCTTGCTGTTGCCTTCTGGAAAGTCCTTTGCCCATGGCTGTGCACTGACTGGCTGCAGGTCGCCTGCCTCGTCTGGCCTGTAGTGGAGCCAGCCTCCACTTCTCGCTCCCCTTAAGACTGTCTCGCTGGTTTCATTGAGCTGCTGCATCCTCTGGTGCATCACTCTGGCTGCCTCGAGGATCTCTGCAAGACCTGTCTTGTAGGTTGGTGTAACACCTTCCTGTCTGGCTTTCTCTCTGAGCATGTCCCTCAGGTCATTGTGGTATCTGCTAAGGGCTGCTTTAGCTGGCTGAGCAAGCGCTATGTCTGTGAGCTGTGTGAGGCCTGTTGTGCCTGCCCCCACACAGCATCTGAGTCTCTGTGTTATGAAGGCTGCCTCGCTGCCTGCCTCAGTCCATCCTCCTACAAAGGCATCTATGAGGTCTACAGCCTGTCTGTGCTCCTTGGCTTCCAGTGCCTGCTGGAAAGCGTATATGACTGAGTCAACAACTGCACTGGGCTGACTCCAGACCAACACTTCGTCTCCTTGGAAAAGCTCTGGCCTTTCCTGTCTCAGCTGTCTCCACTGACGCATGAGCACACCTGAAACCTTCTGTCCTGCCTCTCTGCGCACTGTTTGACCCTGGTATTCATATTGCTCTGTCTCCAGCCAGTGCCCTGACTCGCTGATGTTTTCCAATCTGCAGTGGCTGCCATAGACCAGCAAAATGGAAGGCATCACTCGACCCACTGGCTTCTTGTCTGGCTGAAAGTATTCTTCTACCGCCTGCCTGGCGACAAAAGAAACTCGCCATCTAGGCGCCTGCCCTGGACTTCTGGCTGCTGTCTCAACAGGCTGCTCTGGCTCTCCAAGCTCCTCTTCTGCTGCAACCATCTGTTGCTCTGCTGCTTCTCCAGCTGCTTCCTCCTTCAACTGCTCTGCCTGCTTCTTCCTGGCTCGCTTTCTGACCCTCTGCTGCAGGGCCCGCTCCTGTCTCACTGTGCTGACCAGCATCTTGCCTGGAGGAGGCTTCAGCCAGACAGGAATCTGGTCACTGAAAGTCAGCACTGTTTGCTTCCTGTTGACAAACCAAGCCTCTCTGTCTCTCACTGGAAGGTCTTCCTGCACAACTGGCTGAGCTGCCTTGTAAAGCTGACTGTCGTAGTGCCTCCAAGCTGCCTCCATTCTCTTTCTCAACTCCTCCTTGCTGATGTTTTGAGTCTGCTGGCAGCTTCTCTCTCGCAGGCCTGCTCTGGCTGCTAGCTTCGTGGCCTCTTTATCCCGCTGCTTCTTCTTGGTCTGCAGTGTCTTCAGCTTCTGTCTCCATGCCTGGAGCTCCTGGAGCTTCTCTGCTGACAACTGC